ATAAGAATTTAACAATCTTAAATTTTAACAATACTATAGTCTAACAATACTATTATTTCCATTTTATAATGATCACTTGAAGAATACAATATAATTATTTTGACGATAAAACATCTTCCTTTTATTTGAGAAATATGTTATTTTCTATCCAACATTTTTTCTTTTTCATTGAAGAAAATTATTCTTAAATAATAAGAAAATTATTCTTAAATAATAAGAATATTATTCTTAAATAATAAGAATATTTTTTTTTGGTTGAACTATATAAAATGACTTCATTCAAGTCAGTTTTTTTCGTTTAAAGCAATATAATCTCATTTCAAGATTTTCATGTTAAAAATATAGATACAATAAAGATACAATCCTATCTAATTTTTTAACGAACAACAATATGGACGATAAAGGATTGCAAATACGTCTTCCACATCTTTTAATTATTTAATCTTTGCGAGCGGATCTTTATATTACTTATTTTGTACATTGAAGAAGGCCTGATGGCAGGTCGAAACGTTTGTAAACATTTTTAACGAATATATCATAATCTTCGCACGGAGATCTAGCATTGTGGCTCTTTACGCTCCTTATTGATTTTATTTGATTTAACAATCACCAGAGCCTTATATTCTAATTAAAAATAAAGATATTTTTAAAATAAGAATATCTTTTTTTTCCGTGTATTCTAAATGTCGAAATATATAATATCGTGTGTATGTGCGCTCGCGCGAGAATGCAATATATCGTACATATGATTGTAGCCATAGGGAATACGTTTCATTTGCCTGTGCTGAAAGATGCTATACTGTATTGCCCGCACGTGGGTAAACCAGTCGAATGAACGGTTAAACCACCGCATGTTGTCTGGAAATACGTTCTGAAAGCATGGGATACTCACACGGGAATGTCGTCGCTTTCAGCCGCGTAATTGAAGGTGCAACAGAATCCGTCCTGCGTCTTGCGAAAGTAGAAAAGCGCCGAGCAGTTTCTGTCTGTTCCGTGCAGTCTACATTTTAGTAGTATCGTCGAGCATTGCGGCGACAGCTGGAAAATTCAGGTATGCGACACGTGTCGCTGTGAATTGCCGACAACTCCCGTATGATAACATCGGCGGCCGACACGCGAAGTGTCGTGCAAATAATGTTTTAATTGATCTCCGGGGCGAAACCTCTCGTTTAATACAACTACACATGTATACAACTACACATGTATAAATAAAGTATCGCGACGCACGTATAAATGATTTCTAACGGCTCCAATTGCTGGAAATCTAAGTTAGAATAAATTTATACGGAAAATGGCCGCAAAAAATCGGATGAAGTAGTAATAGCATGCTTTTCAAGAAATTTGCATTTGATATTACCATCAGCAAATTTTAATTCAAACTTTCATTATTATATTATTTAATACTGAAATTCAAAAAGCTTAAAATTTATCGATTATTTAATTATTAGATTTAATTATCAGAACATACTATAACAAAAATTTGAAATAGAAATTCACGAATTCGTGTAAAGTTTAAAAACAAACTGAACGAGAAATAGCGTAAATAGAATTTTCGTTCATCACATTCACAGCATAACATTGATTAATTTTGCATACTTACTTTTTTCATTGTTTCGGTAATATCATAAGGCCCTTTGTAATATTCTGTTAAAAGTCGGTCGATCTCCACGTTACGATCTTCATCCATGCTGAATTCGGAAGCGTAGTGATTGCCTAACTGCATGATCAGAGTGAGGACTTCTTCGACTGGCATATCCGTAACGTTTGCATTTAAACTGATTTTAAAAACAAATTTATTTTGAATTAAAGCTGTTGTGTAATACATTGGAGATATAATTAATGAATTCGTGATAATCTAAGCATGCCCGTCATATAAACAGAACAGTTTTAATCCCTCGCAAAACTCCACTAAATTTATTTAGCCGACTTGAATAAATAATCGTTTGTAAGTGATATTTTTTAATAAATGATATTTTAATAGCGTTATAAAAGTTTAAGCTGATCAAGCATTATCGACCATTAAGCGCAAACAATTTTCTAAACATCAATTTACTACACGCCATTATAAAGCGTAATTGCATTTTAATACGCTTTATAGCAATAAACTTTCCAATTACGTTATAATCTATATGAAAATTTGAAAGCATATTTTTTTTATTTTAACATTCTAGTATATTTGTTGTTTATTTTTAAAATAACTGCAATTAAATATTTTAAATCTTTCTCGAAATAAATATTGTATCCTTTTGTGGTTTGCTTATATTTATTATAAAAATTACTTTAAACATTTAACGTCAAGATAAAAATAAACGACTTGAGCAAAAAGTTAGCCAAAGTATAATAATCGAAAGAAATTCATATAAATATAAAAGAAATCACAGATAAATGATTATGTGTAAAAAAAATTTGATATATTCCATAGTAGCATTAAAATATTGCAAGCATTTCTAAAAGTGTAATACAACTAGTAGTAGTTTGTTTGAAATTTCTAATGAATAACGCTTCGTCACGTCGATATTCGACCGGACAAAAATGGAAGTGGCATTAATCGATGCGCAAGCCGGACGGAAACTTTCCCGTTGAACCTAGCTACGAAACTTGGAAGGTTCCGGTTCCGTATCAACGATTCCGGAAACGTCTCTTCCATTAACGGGACCAAAAGTTTGCGGACGGCTGCGAGGTAGCGTCGCGCGAAACGGCTGGATTTTGGGATATTAACGCTCTATTAAATGAGCCGTAACCACCGATTCTACGCTCTCCATCAATGCGCAATGCATCGATCCGCTCTCATTGCGTTCCAAGTACGCGGTACCAAATTAACGATAATCGGTGTGCCAATTGACTCGGGACGTCGTAAAAAGCGAGGTAGAACCCGATGCGTTGACCGGTCGATTAAGCTTCTCGTATATATCGTACGTCAACCATGGCGAGTTAACCATATCCTGATCGAAATTCCCCATGAGAATATCACCATGGTTTTGCACCTATCGGCTGTGAATATCATTTGCCACACCACTGATCTTCGTAATCGTTGAAAATATATCTATTATCTTTTGTTACATTGTTCATTTTCGTTAGGATAATGCTGGCGATATTAACGACTGATTAATGATATTTATCAATTAAGAAAAAAAATGTTTTGTAATGGTTTTTAACACAATATTATGTCGTTATAATTTTTTTAAGAATATACATATCAAGAATTGGGAGAGTTCGGTCGCGATTTCGAAAACTGGATTATTAATAATGCATATTTTAATATTAATGAGATACCGGCAATGTCAAATATTTACATGGTCGTTTTATTACCAACATAATTTCAAAGTAATTTACGCGATTAAACCGATGATCGAAATATTTGCGGATACGTATTTGCGACTTGCACCGGTAGCCGATGACCATTTTAACACGTAGAGAGAAAATATGCGGAATAATACGCAGCCAGTAACTTCATGCGATCCAAATCGATCGTGCGATTGGTGCAATTTGGTGCAAAACGTGCAAAGTTGCTTACACATGCGTCGAAAACGCCGCAACGAATTTCGCGTGTGCATCACCACCTCGCCACCATTCGTACACGCGTGAGTACGTTTGTTTAATACACGCAAATGCGGCTTGTGCTTATTTAATACAAACTCGCTCACATGTCGTTCGCCAGTTCCGTTGCGGATTGCCGACTTATCCTGTTGATGGTACAGATAGCGATTCCTGAAAATTATCGAAGCGTGTGCTTTTTTTCTTTCCTTTTTTTTTTCAATGCACTGTGAAACTAATAAAATTTCAAGCAAATACTAATTTAAGAGAGGAATTAGTTTCTATACCTGGAAAATCTAAATCGGTTGTGCGATGACTGTCTGAATCTATGGAAGTTAATATAGGCGATTCTTTATACTCTGTGTAGGAAATGCAAACCATAAATATCAAAGTGCATATAGTTACGCAATGTATTATGACCCATAGAATTCTGAAAAACATTTATAATTGTGTTAATAATCGTAATATTACGCATGCCTGTAAAATGGCAAATAAAGTTTCTACGTTTAGTTAATTTATTCATTTTTGGTAAAAAAAAATTCAAAGGCAACAGTATTCGAATATCAAGTAAAAATCTGTGTGCTGCGAGCCAAGCGGCGTCAAGTAACAATTTATTCTCGTTCGTGTCGTTCATTACCGAATTCGCGCGGTGCTATTAACGTCACGTATAACGCGTGACGTATAACGCGTAACGTTACATTAAATCAACCGGCAGCGCCGCAGCACGACATAACTCCAATGTTTTGTGGAATATTATGTTCTTTTTTTATTTTTTTTTAACTCCTTCGTGGAGACGCCCCGCATTTGTCTCGTTTCGCAAAACATGGTCATGATTTGTGCGGTCCACTATGAATCCAAGAATACCTATTTCGTGGCACCGTTAATCTCGCGAGAAACGAGGATATGCTCGTTAAACCGCATAACTTTAATCATACGTTACGCTTACGCGTGAGCCGATGTAATGTACGAGTCCGTAGCGTCTCGCAGCTAATCCGCGCGCATGGTCTACGCGAACCGCTTTTATCATTGCTTTGATAAAGACCCGATAATCGTATTACGCCAGCTGAGCTTACAAGCGCGAGCTTACGTCGCTAAATAGGTGAATAACATCCAAATAAATCCTGCTCGAGTAAAATTCTGCCATATAAAGGTTACATCTTATACAAAACGTCGGATGTCGCGTGTGATTCTAAAAGTGCAAATAAAATAGATAAGAAACTACACGGCTTGATGTGTGTTATTAAATGAAAAACTAAGTGGATGGAGAGAGAGATATATATATAAAGATATAAAAATAAAATAAAGTATTCTCAGAGATGAATTATTATCTTATATATATTATTTTAATAAAGTATCTGATAAAGATAATTTATGGACAGATTTTGTGTATAATTAAGACATAATATTATAAATAATTTACTTAAATAAAAATGAAATTTATAGTCCATGTTGAACTTCAAACTATTATACATATCATCCATAAATGTGATAGCTTCTTTTCTTTTTTCCTTCTTTTCTTTTCCGCTTCAAATATTAAACGCTTAATATAACACAGGCTTAAAGCTTATTATTAATTGAAGCAGTGAGTGGAAAAAGATACTTGCTTCGACAAAAGTGCATGTAAAGTTTTTATTTTAACTTACAAAATACTCAAAGTAGAAAGTTCGCACAAATACAAATACAGTTAATTTCCGTTAAGTCGTATTGTAGTTGCTAGCAAATATTTTGTGAGGTAAAATTAAACATTTTGATGTATTTAATTTTCTAGAAGCTTGATTGTTTGAAAATTGAAAAACGATGCATATTGATATATAAATGTTTTTATGGTTAATATAAAGTTTTAAATTTTACATATGTCTAAAAATTTTCATTTTTATCCATGCAAAACTTAATGTATATAAAATGTAATATTGAACGTGCTATTACCTTTCGATCCAAGTTTTTTTAGAATCAACAAGATACTTGAAGCTGCTTATACTTGAATACTGACAATATAACTTCAGATATTTCAAGAAAATTTTAAATTTTGTTAATGGTTTCTGCGAATCTTCCAACGTCCATGCTTGTGTAGTAGCGATATTATTTTTAGATTTAAGTTGTTCTTTTTTGGTCAACATTATCAAACCAACTTATTAAATTACATTTTTTAATTAATTAACTGCGGTAAATAATTATTATTTGCACTGCTGTGTAATTTCAACCAAATCGTCGTCAAATTTCTGTTAAAAATAAAATATTTATTATCTATAATATTGTATTTACATATGTATATAAATAAATAAAATTTAATTTGGAATATAAATTACTTGAAAGGATAGAAGAATAATTAGAATTAAAAATTAATAAAAAAAATATTGCTAAGTATTTTAAAACAATTAAGAGTTTACAATAATGAAAAATTGTTGAACAATCGTGAATCAATATTTCTGTTACAAATTGCACGTGATATTATTGGACATATTGGCATAAAACCATTATATCTGTTTAAACAATAGTGAACAAAAACTATAAGCGCTGTTACACGGTGTTACAAGCGACACACGTTATATCCCGAGCACTCGCGCGGCTATCTGGGATTACGACTGGCGGCGTTTACATCGAGCCATAAAGTGGCCACCCGATCTCATGCATGTGTTGGTCCGCGTTATAAGGGAAGAGATCCAGCAAGATCAGAGATCGCGTATCTGGCGTCGTTCAATTACTATTCTGCTGCTTTAGTATCGAGCCAGCGATCGCTCGCTGTCGCCGGGTATAAAATTGCGCTGTTCGTCGCTTCCCCGGCAATATCGTGAATAGTTTATAAATGTGCTGCATGTATATACGCATTGTCATATCGCGTGGAGTAGCTTTCATAGAGGAAAAAAGTGGAAATTTTTAGAAGGTTGTTTCTTTCATATACACAAGCTTGAATTAATAATTTTCTCTATAGCATCTTGCATTTTATAATACATTGCGTAAATAACGGTTTCAAAACACTTGAAAAAGCATATATCGCAGAATATTAATATCTCTTCAATATAAACAGAACACAGATGTATAAATAAAAATAACATAAATAATCTTACCAGTATTAGTTAATTAAATGTAAAGATGGTTTTGTAAATATAATTTATTTAATGATTTTTTGATTTGAGAGTTGACTACATTTAATATATAAGTACGTAATTTCTGTTGCACATTCTAATTACATTATCACTAATTAAATCTGAAATCTATGTCTATTATATTACAGTTATATATTTTGGAAAGAACTTTGGTGGCGCTTGTATGAACTTCTTGAGTTAAATTAATAACATTACAGCTATATTTTACTTCCATTTATGTTAAATTTGCATAATAATATAAATGCGGAATATAATTATTAATATATATTACCAACGTATACACTGCAACAATTATTCTATTGTATTTTCCACTCTCTATGACATATACGAGGAATGCGATTTAGATGCTCGCGTTCTGAACCGACCATATACGAGATGTTACTACTGGCTGTCTACAAACTGTTTGCACTACTCGCGTCTGACCGTACTCAACGTAGTCCACTTAGATCTATTACTCTAGATGCATTATAGTTCCACGATGTATTATATAGTCTCTAAAGCAAACGTAAATTCGAACATGTCTCTGTCTTCCAACGCTTTGCCAAGAACGCTTTCACTATGTGTTAACTTAATAATGCTCGTTGCTAATAGTTGCATACTTCGGATACAACAGTGAGACAGCGAGATTGAGATACAGGAAGAACTGAGTATATTTCAAATTAAGTTACATTTTCAAAGGCGTTAACGAAAAGAAATATAAAAAACATTTTTATAAAAATTGAATTAATATAAATTGTATAAGAAATCAAAATATATTTGCTGGTTTTCTGTTTTTTAAAACAATTTCAGATATTTGATTATGGATTCTAGAGTAATTTTCTATTGCAATAATAAATCGCAGTATATGGAACAATTTATTAAACGCATATTGTTATCAAAATTGTTGTTTTTTATTTTCTTTTTAATTATCATCTTAAAATAAAGTTGCAAACATAATTTTAATAACAATAATAATGTGTAGAGCGTTCCATAACTTTGACATAAAATGTAATAAACATACATGACAATGAATTAATGCATTCCATTTAAGCTATTAACATTAAGATATCAACGTTCGTTTAAAAGTTCATTACACTAAAATCTGCTTTCCGCATTTCGTAGATGAAATTTAATCTATCTACGTGCTCATTCATATCGAAGTGGTATATGCATTCCGAATGGGTCCTGGCAATTACAAACTATGTTTACGGACCAACCCTTTCGGACGTTCTACTTTTAATCTCGTTTGTCCGATCCGACATCAGCGTTGTCATATTTGTCAAAAGTTTGAAATCGCATTTGAAATCGCGAATGTGAATTCGAAGAAACGCGAACTTCCAAACGAAACCGATAATGTTTGCGCCCTGTCCGACTCAGTAACACGGCAACGTTCATATTTCAACGCTAACTCCAACTCGAATGTAAAACGCACGCGGAAATATATGCATAACCATATCTTGCAGCCGTTGTGTGCATCGTACTCGACGTATGAATACATTTGTCTTGTTACCATCGCAAGGATTCATTGTAATTGGCTAAAATTCGCGAAGCTTCTTACATCACTATGATTACAGACTCTCTTACGGACTCGGTTCTCAATCCGCACCATACATATGTATGTAGCAACTGCATATGTTTGATTACATTCTTCGTAGAAGAATGATGAATATAAAATCCTACGACTATAAGTGAAGGATGCTATTCTTTAAGTAAATTTACGTGGATTAAATAATCGTTTGCTTAAACTTTTAAAAGATTCCCGGATAACGAGACATTTAATATTAAAAATTGAAAAGTTACTGAAAAGTTAACAAGTAGCGATACAGTATTACATAAAAAAAAAAAAATGGTCCAAATTTTTTGAAAAATCTGCAGAATTGCGGCAGCAGATCCGCGGAATACCAGATATGTAAGCGCGGGCATCTTCCGCTTCGCTTGTTCTGTGACGCGTGCGAAACGGATGAAGAGAATTATTCATGGCTGCGTGACGTGCAGCCGGTGACGTTGCGTCTCATCCGTCGGCCGACATTCTCGCGGACGGATCGCGGCCGTTTAAGTGTATTTTCGTTAATTAATCTCGAGATTAATTCGCGTTCACCAGCATGCCGGCAATTCAATTTAAATTGCGCTGGAAGCGGCCGGAAGGATGCGCATAAATTGCGTGCAACAAGGTGAGATGGAAATTACATCGAGGAGAATTTCTTGCAGCAAGAGGCATTCCTGCTGTGCGAAGGCACTAAAGCGAATTGGTGTGTTCTGCGTGCGGTAACGCGACAATTGTGTAATTGCGCGTGTGCACGCAAAGTTGTGCATCATTCAATTTTCAATAGTTTGAAAGCTTTCAGTTCGTGTTTTCTCTACCTGCAATATTTACAGATTTCACGAATTTTATTCTGAAAAAAAAAGATACAAAATGTATATTCCAATATACTGTACTTGTTTCGGAATCTAACAAGAGACTCAATGGCTGTACATGCCAATTGTTTAGTGCACAGCTTTCATCTTACAAATACAATACCTTTCATTCTGCCTTAGCTCTAATGTTAATTATGCTTTTTGTGTGATATTATTCTGTTTAGCACACGCAATGCATTCCGATAGCTTTCGCTTGAATTAAAAAAAAAATTAATCCATCTAAATGCAGTTAAGGATTTCTCTCATAAGTTCTCTCTAGCTTCTCTAACTCTTTTAAAAAGTTATTTTAATTAAGTCTTATTAACATTAATAAATATTTTAAGCCACTATAATTATACATAATTTAAATGAACATTTTTAGAGATATATGTATATTATGTAATAATCTCTTATCAAACCGCTATATTAATCAATGCTTTTTCTTCGTTTTTCCGTTCATTTCATTAGTCTCAAAGGTACACGAAGATGTAATATTGCTAATGGACCAATTAACAACGAGACGCGAATAGAGAATTCAGTAAGTAATTGAAATGTATCCCATATTAATGCTTATTAAATCTTTATGAATTAAAATTTACATGATCACTGCATGATCCACCTTGCGTCGATTTGTTTTGACGAAAACGCGGCGCAAATAATATACATATGTTACCGCACGTCCTCCATACAGAATTTCTTTTTCTACGAGCATTTGCATTTTAATTCCGTAATAATAATCTGTAGTGGCTTATAGCTTCCGCGTTAAATTTAAGAGAGGCAGTCGGCGACGAGAGACATTTCCATGCACGCCGAGAGACGCATCAAAAATTAATCTTAGCCATGCTTTGTTGCTGCCCGGTCTCGCGGGCTGCAAGTGGAACGGCGTTTTTTGTAAATATGCTAATCGCTAAAACTTTGTGGAAGCGGGCTGGAACAAAGGAAAAGAGAAATTAGGAGAGAAACGAGTAGACTACTTTTCCATACAAACAGCTCGCGTGAAGACAGCGGTATATTACGGCGAAAAAAAAGATCGTACTAAAAGCCAGTGTGCCAAATGCCATCGTTTTCAAAATACCTTTGGGAATTATCTGTGAACCGTGTGTTGCATTTGCAGGATTTTGTATTCACTTTGATGCCTTTTTACACACGCGTGACTTTGTGGAAGCAAATACTGTTTTTCTCATATTAAACTTTTAAACGCGAATTTCTCGATATACAATAATTATTTAATTTCCTTAATGTTCGTTTTTTTTTTTTAATTTAATGAAGTTTATAAATTATATAGGGCCACGAAACTAAAAAAAAGTTAATTTTATTAAATTGAATAAGAAGTCTAGAATTTGTACGATCTAGAATTTGTGCGAATAGCTTTTCGAATAAATGGAGGTTCAAAAGAACTGCATTATGCACTTCGCAGGATTTTAAACTTTATAGGTTGTTAAATGAAAGAAAGTATTTTATATACAGCAATTGTTTATTTGCTTTGCACGCTTTCTTATCTGCCTTTCCCAGCCGTTCTCGTGTTTTGAGATGCTTTAATACAGAACGATACCAAGTCGTTGCATCGAGTGCACTCGAGCGGCTTCTATAATTCCTTTTCTTCTTGTAATAATACTGTTAAACGTATTAAAAAAACTTTTCATAGAAACGACTCGAGAGTCAGGA